ATCGCCTCTCACCGGAGTCCACCAATACGCGCACTCCTCAGCCCCCCGGCGTCGGTTCCGCTCTTTGTCCCGCTTGTCTTGGTGTTGGGAATCCGCCTCGGCACCGTCCACCACCGCTCCACTCGGCCGCGAAGGACCGACGGTGAACTGGGGCTTCGCACATTGAGGGCCACGGCCGCCTCGATCCGGGCGACCTGGAAGCGACAACCACGGCAGTTGGGGGGAAACACGAACAAGAACTTGAAAACCCGCGTGCAAAGTAGGTGAAACTAGGGTTGGGGCAAGGCCCTGGAACCCATGAGTCGGGGAAAGTTAGCAGTTTTTACACGAAAACTTGGTGCACAACGGCAACTGTCGACGCTGTAGTTGCCTGTAGTTGATGGAAAGGTCACGCCCCCAAACCCACCTGCATTGCGGGCCCCGCCCCGAACAGCTGAATCACCTCTTGTGGAGACCCCCGCGCTCTCTCCAGATGCCGCCGCCGCCGCCGCTTGCTCCCGCTTCTCCGGGAAGAAATAGGAGAAACAAAATGGACAAGTCCACGCGTGGGCAGACGCCTTCCCAAGGATAGAGTTGTGCATTTCTGTGACCCTCTCCGGCGGCACCGGAAGGCCCAAGGGCCTCAGTATGGTTGGGTCGTTGGCGTCCATGCGTCCGGTGGGCCATGTGGACAGCTGCGAAGTGGTTTTCTGGTTTTCAACAACTGCTGAGGACCCCGAGCGGTTTGTGAATTTTTTTGGGGGGGAAACGGCGAGTGACGTTCGGACTCCGTGCCCGAGGTCGCCAACTCTATAGTGGGCGTTCACAAGGAAGTTTTCCCGGAACAAATCGGTGAACAAATGAAGATGCAACAACCTGGCCTGCAGAACTTGGAAAGAAACGACCACAATCACTCAGGGAATGGCTTGAAGTTCTCGCTGTGCTTGCATGCAAAGCCTTCGGAGCGTCCTCTCGCCTCAGCACTGCGGGGAACTCACCTCGCAGGCGGCGGCGTGACCCTCACCCCATCTCAAAGGCTTTAAGGCGCAGGGCTCTGGAGGACGCTGCCGTATGTTTGCGATCTAACCTCAGGCTGGCGGTCCGGCCGTCACAGCCATGCGAATGTAAAAATGGCTGGATGGAAACCCCATGTTTGGGATGCCTGTTCTTCTTGGCCTTAGCCTTGGCATTGAAAATTGGAATCATTTATATATTCCCCTCGTCGCGGAAGAGCATCCACTGAAATGCCCGGAGCCCTCATGTCTTGCAAGTTCAATCATCTTAGCCACACAAACAGTTCCCGCCATGCACGCTCTGAGGCCCCCACAGCCCCGCCGAGTGGGCCTCAAGCAAATCGATGCAAATTGGAGCTACGCCTTCCAAAATGCTCCTCTCGGATCCTCTCAGTGGCCGGCCACTGTTTCAGAGCGATGCAGCCTGGCCAACGAGTGGTGGGAAACAGGTCACTCGTCTAGTTAGTTAATGATTTCCTCCTGTTTCATCGTTGCCCACCCTGCAGCACAATGAGCTACATGGCTAACGATTCACAATCATTTCCATCCATACAAATGGCTTGCAAATGGTCGGGCCACGCAACAAGCCACTCGCACCTTCTATACTATATACATGGCTAGGCTAAACCTCAGAACTGTGGCTGATGCTCAGGCGGTCGTACAAAACCATGCTGCTAAACACGGCATTCAGATTCTAACCTCCGCCAGGCCAAAGGCCCTGTGTGTTGTAAAGGGGGTAAGGGGCCATCTGGCATCCGGGGGTGCGCAGTTGTGTTCATCAGAAATAAATGTTTGTGTTCATTCCAAATCCATAACATGCCAACCCCGCGTGAAGTTGGAGGCCGGTCGCTCCACCGTCGCGAGCGCCATGGCCTGGATGAGTCGATGAGGATTGCTTGCCCGTTTGGCCGAGATCGGCACCGAAAAAGAACATAGTTTCAGAGTACGTGGCGCAAACCCAAAAATGTCCTTTAGATGGAGGCCCTGGTTCCACCACGAAACGTGGGGGTGCGGCCATCTTTCTGAAAGCACCGTATTTGGGGTGCGCAGTGCGCCTTTTCATGGGCAGGGTTGGGTGCAATCATAAGGGTGGGTTATATTAGACCTTCCATCAGCTTTGCAGGCGTCATTCATTTCTAAAATCCTTGATGAAACCTAGCGTGAACAGTGTCCGGAAACGGTCAACTACTAGGTCAACTACTAGCTGCACTGGACCTAGGTGCGTGCCCCAGGGCTTGCCAGCAAAGCCGCATGACATGTCTTGGAACAAATGTAGGGAAAAAATCATGCTGACGCGACATGCGGTAGACTGAGGAACAGTTGTGAGAAAAACGTCCATCACCTCATTGTGCCCCACGCCGCTTCCAAAGTTCAATCCCACACATGGTTTGTTGCGCGCAAGCCCCGCCTGAGTCCACAAATCATCCCACTAGGCGGGCCATGCGTCTATGACTAATTCTTCCTCATTTTGCCCTTGAGGTGCAAAATTTGTAACGGATGAATGCCGGTCACATCCTGGAAAACAACACAATTTGGCTGAGCCGTTGGTGCAATCAATCTTCACTTTGGATAGACAATTGCAGGACCTCACCCGACACTAACGTGGCCGGGGAAAGTGCAAAACACCTTAGCATCCCAACCTTCACACCCCGACCCTGCTACCATAGAAAGATGTGTCAGAACACATACCAGACTGGATGCCAAACACAATTTTCAGAACATTGTGTCAATGCACATGTCGGCAGCATTTGTCAGGATAGCGCTGTCGCCTATTGCCAAAATTTCTTGCAGCAAACGCTGTGGGACCAGCCTTTTCAGCCGTGTGTGTCATTGTGCAAATGTATCTACAAGTATCTACAAACATATATCACAGACACACACAGACACACATGGGTTGGGTTGAAAAGGGGGGAAGGAAAGGCCTGCCACCGGGCGACGGGGGATGCGTGACGAAAGGGCAAGTAAGTTAAATGGTTAAAAACTCAACCAGTGTTTTGGGATCAACCCCTCAACATTGCACAAAAACTGTTTCATTGACCCATCGCTCTTTTCTGCTTTCGGGCGCTCGCAGTGCGTTCATCCAAAGCATCTCTTGCACAAGGAAAGCCTCCTTGGGCTTTGCATCCTTGAGCAATCAGGGTTTTTGTGGATCTTTGGATCTTGACCGCCCACAGGGATATAAAAGAAGCTGCTCTGCTGTGACAATGTTGGACTGCGACAGTGGCGGCAGCTCAGTACTTGATTTTTTGGTTTCTCCAAGACTTCCGTTTCAGCACCTTCTTGAACTTGTACAGCTGGTCCGTGTGTACCGAATTGGGTGGCAACCTTGACAGGCCACCACAACTTGCACATCCTTTGGCAGCAAAGTGTAGCTAGAGATCCCAGCATCATGCCAGGCACGCACATACACAACAGAAGGACGGCATCTTCCAGCATGTTTGTCTCCAAAACTTCCAAGTACCGTTTACTGGCAAAACTATTGGAACTGCGGGCCACAGAATGGCAGCAAGTTGGACACAAAATAATGACATACTTCAAAGCCAACTTGGCAAAAAGATATCTATATTACAGTAATGCGTCATCAATTTTCACGCCCCTCTTCTGAACTGCCGAAAGTGAATTAAGAGACTGGCTTAGCCTCAATGACCAACTGGTTAATGATCTCAGAGTTAGGTTCTGACCTCGGCGCCCAAAGAGACAACACATCACTATCACCACCCGCAAAGGTAGGAGAAGAACTGGCACGTGCACACAGCAAACAAAGCAACCTTCGCTCCACTGAGTCAAACAATTTTTTCCAGGCCCTGACAAGTGTCAAGGGTAGATCCCCATTAGCGCCCCGCACATTACCTGCTTCTGGAACTTGTAACCAGTTCAAGCATTGTAAATTGAAACTGTCGCGACAAGATCTCAGTCTGTCAACCTGGCCCTGGAGCTGGTGGCCACCATGGCCGTCTCAAAAAAACAAACAAACAAAACAAAGGTGACAGACAGACTTCCCACCTTAAAGACATGTATCACGCTGTTGCTGAAAGGCAGCGCCGCCAAGGTTTAGACTGAAAACGTTTCTCTCCTACTCTTGAGACTCATTGGCGCCGTTGGCCTTTGCTGAAGTCTCCGCCACTGGACCTCCGCCTGGCAAGCCATTGCGACCGTGCAGGCAACTGCAATTTTTCAAAAGCAAAAGAACAGAACTCTAGAAACACATGGCTTTGCTCAGTACAAATCAGACCGCATCAAGACCAGTACGCCTTGAGGTGGTGCAACAGCTCCTCCACCCGCGGCCGCTGCAGCTGCTGCAGTGAGCTTGGAATTGTCCTCATCGATCGCTTTCAACAGCTCTTCCAATTGTGGAGACGTTCTCCCTTGATCCCGTGCTTCCATCTGCAAAGCGCGCAATGTCTTGATCCCCACCTCATCGCCATTGCTGCCAATGCACACGAACGACATCTTGTAGCCATAGTGGTCTGAGTCTTTGCCCACTCTCTCTCCAACCAACACACCCGCCGGCGTGTAAAGAAGATCTCCTGAAGAAACGTCACTTCTGACACATACAGCACACTGATCACGACCTGCAACCTACTTGGAACAAGTGCAAACAGATTGACCCTCAGGCATCAACCACTGCGCTCCTGCGTCCAAAGACCCCTTTTGCACACTGCCTGGCTGAGCGTCCACGAGCTCCAACAAGTCTTCATCAGACAAATAGCAAGCAAACCCAACAGCTGAGCCATACGTGACCTTATCTCTGTCTTCTTCCTTCCGACGATTGTTGCGATCATGGAGAAAACTCATCACCTGCTCCGTTTTCAAGATCACAACCTCACCTAAGCCAGCAAAAAGGACGACGCCAAACCAATGCATTGAAGACAGATGAGATTTGAAAACCAGGAACAAGAACTCAAAAAAGGCTTTCCACATTCGTTCATGAGTCAGCAAATCTGAAAGGACAGCGATGCAAGGCAAACAACGACACATCAAAAGCAGGCGAGCGACGCCATCCTTTGTTGGAGAGGCGAATGCTTGCGCAACCAGACACTTCGTACTGGATGTTCCGGTGCTGCGCAATGCTGCCATAGCAAGAGGCAGGAGGCACACCGCTGGGTACCAAAACATGGCGGGAAGGCAAAATCTCTGCAGCACGGTTGCTCAGGATCTCCCCACCTTCCTTGGACAAGGCGGCTTGGCACTTGCCTGTGGTGAAGCGGAGGTCACTTTTTTGAAACTTCTCTTCAAAGGATGACATCTCTGCCTCCAACTTGTTCATCTGCTCCGGTGTCGCACCATCCCCTACAAAGATGGTTGGCAAGGATTTTGCCCTGACAATGAAAGGGTCACTGACATTGTGCTCCTGCGGCAAAGGACTTGTGTACTCTGCAATCGCCACTGCGTCTTTGAAATCAAAGACTTGGTACATCGCAGAAACCTTTTTACCAGCTGCCTTGGGCTTTGCCTTCGCCTTGCCGGCAGACTTTTTCTTAGAGCCTCCTCTGGCAAGGTCCAACGCCTTTCGCAAGTCAGTTGAAGAAGTTCTGCACGCTGACATCAATTCATCCCAATGGGCAGCCGCAGCTTTCACCACCCTCCACGTTTCATCCAACTGTTCTTGAGATTGAACCCCTTGCATTTGAGCAATCCAAATTCCGCTGGCTCCCAAGGTGTGGAGCTTGTGGTAGTTGTGGCAAGGGCCTGCCTGCCTCAGTTGCCAAAATCTCCCAACAATCTAAAAACATATGTTCTTACACCCCACTCTCTCAACAAAACAAAAAACATACGCCCCAACTGAACAGCTGGCAAAGGTGCACCAGGCTGCGTTCCTGGGATTCCTGGGCGGAAGTGCTTCCGCTAACTACAGACTTGTTGTCAGCCACCGCCTCCTGCAACCTTGTCACATAGGCCTCGAACTCGTCAGGTGATCCTGAATGGATGATGTTCAAAGCTTCAAGTCTGGTGTGCAAGATCTTCATCTCTGTGGCAAACGGTGGCTCTGATGCTGGGCAGGCGGCTCTTGCTAGACCCAAGACTTCTTTCATAGAATTCCTGAGTGTGACCATCGCAGATTTCTTCTTGTCAAGAAAGCTTCCTAGTTGCCTTTTGGCTCGAGCACTCTGAGCCACAGCGTCAAACCACTTCTCTTCTTTGTCCTTCTCTTCCGCATTCTCCTGCTCAGCAACTTCTGCCTGGCCCTCATCATCTTGGCCATCTGTGGCCTGGTCAGAACCCTTTGGCCTTCGCTTCATCAAATCTGAAACTTTGCCAACTGTCAGCACAGGCACCTCGCCATCGCCACCACAGCTTTGTCCGGCTGCCACTTTCACCCGGTCAAACTTGATTCCATTCTTGTCCGCGTCCATGGCCTTGTCCGTCACAAGCAAATCCACCTTGTTCTGCACTTGTTCCATCGACATTTTGTTCAGCTTCTGCTGCTGCTCAATCTCACGTTCTTCTGCTGCTGCTCAATCTCACGCTGGCTGGCAACATCGTCGTAGTCTACGATGTCTGTTGTGTAGTGGATCGGCAATTTCATGTCTTTCCCTTCACCCTCAGCCACGAGGTAAGGGTCATCCTTGTACTCCTGCCATTTCCGTTCAGCCTGAGACTTCGTCAAATTTCCCCCCTGAGGGGTCTGGGCAAATTCAATGAACGCATCTTCCGTCATCAACCGCCTGCGGGCTTCACGCCGCACACCACTGGCACTCAAGACACGAACCTTGTAAGTTGTCATGTTGAATTTCACACGACGGCGTTCTTTCTCAGCCTTGAGCTTCTCTTTGTTGTAGGCAACGACCAGGGAGTCGAGCTGCTGGTCATTGAGGGATCTGAACCATTCCAGCTCCTTTGCTGCCTTGGCCTGGTTCTCAAGGTTCTTGAGGTCTTTGCTGCACCCTTTACAATTTCCGTGACCCTGAAAAAACTCTGACACTGGTCTTCCCTTCTTGCACCGTTTGCACTTTTTGGTCTTCTCCTCCACAGGGTCATTCTCTTCCTTCTTAGTCTTCTGCCGTTTTCCTTGGCCATTTGAAGAGGCACCGCTGTTGCCTTGCCGCGCCAGCAAATGTGGACACAACAACCGGATCTCACCTAAAGAAACAAACAAACACACAAAACACTGCACAATTCAACGCAAAGCACGCTTGGTTCTGGCCTTTGTGCGCCCCCGATCGTTTCCCTCCTTGTCTCCACCGTTTGCGTCCTTCCCATGGTCAGAAGAGAGGGGCTTACTGCTGCCCAGCCCGCCGCTGAAAAAGTCATCACACTCTGACATCATCATGGTCGCTCAGCAGGCAGACTGAATGAACTACAATCCCACAAATGTCTGCTAAACAAACACGCACATTCAGACAATGCACATTGCGCCGGATCACACAATGAAGCAACAGTGGCTCTTCTTCCCTAGCTGCTAGCTCTTGACTGCGCACAGAACTGAAGGCAAACAAAACATCAACATGTGGCACAAACAGTTTTCATAGATGCGCTGCAGTGCACGTGCTGTCAGAGGAACCTGCAGGTTCTCACAACAAGTGAGGACACGCAATGAATTTCTAAGCATCCATCCCCACCTATAGATCCTCCTCAGAAGGAAGTTCCACCACCATTGATGTTGAGCTGAGCAAGAAAGCCAGCACATGCCCAACACAGCCAATATGCATTCCATTCCCGGCCATCGACCGAAGCTGGGGCAGAGGATCTCGCCACAAGTCAGGCTGCTCTGGATCAATCAGCATCTCTTGGAATGGGCCTTGCTCGCGCGCAATACCACTGGCTGGCAAGATTTTTGCTGAAGCAAACCTGTAAAAGAAAGACACCTAAAAGCATTGCTGTATCATCAGCTGGGATGCACACATATGGGGATAGCTGTGAATCGAAGACAGGGAACCCTTGGACTTGCAATAGTTCTGGGCCAGTCATCAAGCGCTGGTGCTTCATGCTGAACAAGTGCGAGTTTCTGATCAAAGCTGGGATCAAAGTGGAACATGGGCTTCTGGCACATGATTGGGTAGTGTTCATCACAAAGAACGGCTTCTCAGCCCGATCCACTTTGGCATGCTGTCGACACTTCCTCAAAAAGATGCCCAAAAAGAAGAAACCAATGCTTTCTCTTTCATTTATCAAAACTGGGGCTCCGTTTTGGGGGCCATGGGATTCATAGTTTTGGGGCAAAGGGATCTATATACATCGTCCTATGTCCTATGTGAGAAGCAGCGTCGTTAAAATGAGAATCCCTTCGCCCCCAAAACGGAGCCCCAAACCTTAGAAAGTTTGCACTCAGCTGTACTAGTACCAAACTTGACCCAAACATTTCTCAATACAGACCACTCAGCCCAATTATATATTTCCCAGTGTCTCTTCCCATGCTCGAACTCTTTCACGGGATTCCTTTGAAAGCAGCGACTTGGTGGTCCAACTTGACCCATCTGCTTGAAGCTCTGGTAAGTGCTTGCTCTTGGCCCATTCTGCATGAAAGCGTGCGACATACTCAGGCGGCGCATTGAAGTACACTTCTCCACACAGAGACAGCGGCCGACTGAACAAGGTGAAGAACAGTGAAGCGGGGTCTCCTCGCTGCACTTGCCTGTGCCAAGACAGAACACCTTTCCGCAAAAGAATCATGTAAAGCCGCTTTCTTGTGGCTGGAAAGCCAAACATTTCAGGACTGATGGACAATGGAAGAAGGGTATACCAATCCTTCGTCAGCTCACCCAGCATGTCTGTATCGAAGCCCTCAACACACTCTCCAAGGATGAAATCAGGCTTGTGGTTGACCAGCTGGTCAGCCAAACAACTCAAAAACGTTTCCGCTGATTCACCAAGCCATCCAAGCTGGTTGCCAAGGTTTGACCAATCAACACAAGTAAAGCCCGCTGTGTTTCCTCTTAGAACACCTGACCTGTTCTGCGAGGTGCCTGTCAAGCACGCCTTGTTGTGACACAGGCAAAAGGCCGTTGGACTGATTGCTGCTCGCATGAAGTCTGGCCAAACATGCCGCACAAAGTCCACACCTAGGCGCTTGATAGCCATAGCCGCAGGTACTTTATTGGAATGGACCTGGTATGTGTACCTTTTCAAGTACGCTTGTCGCACTGCACGCATGTTCTGAATAACCTCATCTGGCACGACTGCTCGCAAGTCACTGAAGATACCTTACAAGCATGACGCAGCAAGACCCAAATCCTTCAGCTAAAAATGGCTAGAGGAACCCCCTGACCCCGCCCCCACCCCCTGAAATGTTTGTAGGGCTATTTCCGCACAATACCAAAAGGTAGACTGAAACTAGAAAGAGACACATTGCATATGGGAACAGTTGAAAAAGAAACAAATGACGGCGAAGCACATTCAGCTTTTGATGGACCATCCACGTGATTCGCGAGGATTCTCTGGCAATGCTTTGAGTACTCTGTCGCGCTGTGCACCTTCAAGGTCCCTGTTTCACAGCCATAGCGGCCCAAAGCCTGCTGAAGAAAGCCAAGCGCAGTCTCTGGTGAACCCACTCCAGAATATGAAGTCGTAATCTCAATGCCTGATGAAAACTTCTCCTCTAGGATATCTAGCATATCCACATTCGCAAGGCGGGTCAACACCACTCCAGGCCAATGCAGCAACTCTTGATAGTTTACTGGCCCCGGGTCGCTCACAACCAGTGAGCGCACAAAATCAAGCCAGTCAATGAAATCATCCTCCGACTCACCATCAGACCGCGGCCTCTTAGACATATTGTTTTGCAAAGATCACCAAAACCGTTGTCGTGTTGTCATGACCCATAGACTCAAATGCTTTCATTACAGCTTGGAACGTTTCATCAACACCATAAATGCTTGAGCAAGCCACAACAAACAATGCTTTGAGCAAAGCAGACAATGGAAAAATGAATTTCAGCTGAACCCAAACCTACTGTTTCCAAAAGGTTTGACAGCTTCCTCAAAACAAGCGTCCGGTGTGAATGCTTTCAAAGCAAGCTCTCTAGGCAAACCTTTCTGTGTACTTAGCGCTGCCAGGCTCAGAACCCAGCCGCTCCAAATCCTGCGCGCACCACCCAGGCCTCCAGAATGTGAGAAGCAAGGCAGTTTCAATATATTTTTTAAGAAAAGTAATCTTTGTTAGCAATTTTATCGCTTTTTTTGCATTTTGAAAATAGTTTTGGTTGGGTTGGTCCAAAACTTGAACTGCTTGAGTGATTTTTATTTGATGTATGTTTGAACTACCTCAGACCCATACGCTTGCTGGCTGTACAGCACCACACATTGGTTGAGAACCAATCTCCTAGGCGCCTGTCCCATTAACACTTAGCAGATTACTAGGACCTTACTCGCGATCCTTTATGTTTAATAAGCACTAGTTACTCGTGGTTACTCGCGGTTAGTTACTCGCACCTTACTCGCCCCCCTATATATATAATAAACATATCTTACTCGCGGTTACTCGCGGTCTTCTCCAACCACATTTCTATATCGGCCCACCAAATTCCTCTCCAAAACCTTCACCCGCCCGGCCTCTGTGAACTCCAGAAGCTTTTTGCTCAGCCGGAACTGAGCCTAGCGCGCAGATTTCCCATAGTTTTCTACAGAACCCTGCAAAACCCACCAAAGGTGTATAGATTCTTTTACAATCTTGCGAAATCGATTCAATCTCAAAACAAATGCCAAAGGTTTTTCAAAAACCGCTTACTTGTTCAAAAAACGCTGAGAGACACCTGTTTGGAATGAATACAGGTCTGCGCAGGATTTGGGTTCCTGCTGGGAGCTCTCCTGAGCCGCAGGCCACACAGTGTAAAGGGGCCACAGACACATGGCAACCTGAGAGATTGGAGTAAAGGCCAGGAAGCCAAGTATTGGGCTGACTTCAACGTAGCAAAGAAGGTTTCCTCCGCCTAGTCACACACTCCATAGCAAACCCATGACTCTATTGTCTGGTCATGTTTAAACAAAAGTCAACTTCCATGTCACTCTGAGAGCACAACGCGCAAACAGCCAAAAGCTGCTTCTCACAGGCAACTCCTACAAGGTATGGATAATAACTTGAAATTTATAGTAAACAATAACAGGAAACACATGTTCTGGTTTTCGTTGGCACTTACTGCAGTCCTTCAATCTGAACTGCTGCCACTTGCAGATTCGCTAGAGTCGGATGATGAAGTAGTCGATGAAGAGGAAGAGGAAGAGGATGACAGCTTTGCTTCGGAAGTATCTTTCTTCTCACTCTCCAGTTTGGAATCTACCCCTTTGCAACTCTTCTTTGGCTTGGGTTTTGGCTTTGGCCTCGATGGCTTTGACTTTTTGGCTGAGCTGCCAGCGCCTACATCAACATCTTCAACAACTTCAAGGGGAACTTCCATCGCCTCGGATTTTGCAAGAAGAACTTCAGATGGCGGAGTTTCTTGAGCACGAGGATTCCATTCTGAGTGCTGCCAACTCGACTCAAACAATGGCCCTGATACCAACCAGTGCTGAATCATCCGTAGACAATGCTCCCTTGCGGACTCACTGTCTGCACTCACGTTCAACGCTTTGGTGCATTTTGTTCTCGGCCCCTTGCGGTGATAAGGGCACGTGCCCTGCCACGCCCCAAATTTGCATTCTCTAGTAGGCTTCCGCCACGTAATGCGGAATTTCTGAGGACCTGCGCCCCAAGCTTGAATTGTCTCAGGTTGTTGGACTCGGGCCACTGGCACTTTGCTATCACTGTGCGCAACTGAAGAAGAAGATGCTTGGGCAGCTGAAGAACCATGAGCTGCGCCATCCACTTCTGCACCCACCTCCCCATCTTCCGGCGCACAGGAAGGTGTGTAGGACAACGGCTCCCCCATGTCTTCGCTTTTGTTCACTCGCGCGATCATCTCAGCAAGGTCGCTGTCACTCTCACCGGAAGCCCACTCACCCGCTGCATCCTCTGAGGGCGCTTTGTTCTGCTTCCTGCGGCGTTTTGCTGGAGGCAACTGACTTGCAACCCCCACATCATCAATCTGCCACTCAAAGCCACCATCCATCAAGAACAGCTGGTCTGCATCTTTCAACGCAGGTGCGCCCACCTCTTTTTTTTCACTCTGCTCAGACAACAATGCCAAGGCCCCTGCAACATCACCCTGCAGCAGTTTGTTGTAATACAAAGCCTTCTGCCCATGGCGCAGTTCTGGCACATTCACCAACAGCTTTTCAGCAGAAGTCAAGCACATCAAATACTCCTTGCACACAACATTGGAGCAAGTGTAAAAAACCTTTGGCCCACCCAGCCTGTAAGGATCCATGTTTTTCAAGCAGCGAGCTTTCTGCCACACCCACCCCATTCCATGGAGTTCCTTGAGCAATGTACAGGCTGTCTTATCATCCTCCAGCTGCGCATCAACCACCAAACCTGGCCCGTCCAAAACATGCACAATCTCAAGTCGCTTCACTGCTTCTTTTGTCAACTGCCAGCCCCCTTGATGTTGTTGGATGAAACCTTCCAAGGTCAAATCTCTCACCAAATGGTCAGCCTCGGGAGCCCCTTGTACTATCCCTGTTTGCCCTTCCAGCGTTTGCTTATCAAAGAACTCCTTGATAAGCTTTCTGGATTCAGACGAACAGAAATGAGGCAACATGTAAACACACTCGTGTTTGCTGTTCCATTGGTAAATCTGGGACATCTCCTTTTGGTCAAGCTTCTCCAAAGAAATCACATGCACTGCCCCTCTTCCAGATTCAACACTGCCCTGTGGCTGCACATGTACCAAAATTTGATCCGCGTCAGCATGTGGGCCCACTCTCCATCTTCAGAATGCAACGTTACAGCTACTTCTCTTTCCTGCAAGTGCCTCAGGTTTGATTTCACAACCTTGAGGTTTCCTGGTCGCCGGCTCAAGACCTTGAAAACAATCTTCTCGGAAAGGCCAATGCCCCGAGGCTCAGCTGCTGACTGTTGGGTCACACCCAAATGGTGCCTTAGCCACAACGTTGGGATCGAAAGGTGTAAACAAAGATTTCACCTAGACCTAGATCTGATGTGAGCGAGGGTAAACGGAAACTTAGGAACAAAAGACAATCACAATAATCGCCCCCAGTCAAAGCACGCAAGAGGTTGCAAGACCTTTGAGTCCGTAGCCACTGAAGCTGGCAAGGAATAGTACTCTCCTGGTCGAAGAAACTCTACCATATGATCTGCCTGCGCTTTCTGCAAAACGTTCTGAAACGACACAGAGGAAATCGGCTCAGAGAAAGCTCTCTTTTGAGCAGCCTTGATTTGGTTTTGCCGCCGGTCATGCAATTTGCGAGTCTCTTTATGCTGCACAAACATGCTGGAAGTGTCTGCAGAATACAGCATCAAATTGCAAAGCTTCTTTGTCCCAACCTGCTGAGACCGTGGCTTGCTGGTGAGCTGCAGCCATTCCGGGTGCTCTTGCAAACGGAAAGTCGCAACAAAACGGCGGGAATTTCGCATTGATTGAAACGCTGTGCAGAGTTGCGCTTTGCCCTCGCTTGTTTGGAAAAGAGCATCGATCTCAGACAACCGCATGGCACAAGATATGTACGCACAGCTAATTCTGCGATATCCAGCATGTCTGTGAATGATAGAATGAGCTGCTTCTATCACTCTCTCAACTACTGGAATGAAAGTCAACTTCGCAATCTCTTGATGCAACACTGGCAAGTCAGACAAACGCGCTGAGTCAGCAAGCCTGTCCACCAAAGGTCTAAACTGGCCATTTGGGTCAAGGATCTTCCATGTAATCGGATGATGTTTTTTTTGTCCAAGGGCAACTTCTGAAATTCTGTCACTGCAGATTGAGCGATCCTCTTGTGATCACAGTCTGGCAAGGCTAGTCCAGCACCCAAGGCAAAGTCTGCCAATGACCGAGCTTGATCCCCAGACTCATGTTGATGTAATCGACTCCAAGATTGAAATCGTTAAAGATCTTCTCCCTGGCATCCTGGCGTCAAGATCAATTGTTGTTTTTGGAAGACTAGCTAGTTATGAGGAACTGTAAACTAATGCACCAAATCACTTTTTAACACCGCATGCTTCCCAAACTTGCACGCAAACACCCCTAAACATCTACAGACATCTATCATCTATTTTGGCTATCCCAAACTCTGCTCCTCACTCAAACCAGCGCAAGCAATTATGGCTTCTGCCCTCGCAGCTTCTGCAGCCTTGGCCACTGCCTCAAACAGCTTACCAGCAGCCAGCTCTGGAGCCCTTTTCCCTTTCAATGGACATTCAAATTTGCTTCCATCACACCCACTGTGCTGCAAGCTCAATGATTGCCGAGCGTTCTCAAGGATTTCCAGTTGGCCAGCATGCTTTGTTGCCCCCCCAAGCCATTCATGGCATCGACAGCCACTGCCCCAAGCACTCGCAAAGTGACCTACATAATGCAACTGGCTGATCATTTGTCCGTAAGACCACCACTTCCGATCATGCACTGTGGCAGTGATCAAACAGCAATCCAAAACGTCATCCTGTGAATTTCCTTCCAGTTCTTCATTGCCTTGGCGAAACTTGCCCTCATCCCAAACAACGCGCAAAGCCTTCTCCAGCCGCAAAACATCAGGGAGGGTTTTGACAATTGTTCCCCACCGCCATGAAGCCACTGGGCTCACACAAGTTTCAAAGATTTTGCACAAGGGCTCATGCGCTGTACCACGAATGCACCTGGCCACTAATCTCTGCAACAAATGCCGATGGGACAGGAGATGGACAAGCGCTTTGAAGCCAGGAAGCCACTCAGGCCAGCCTGGCA